TAGTAGTACTACTGCTGCTGCTGCTACTACTACTACTACCACCACCACCACCACTACCACTACCACTACCACTCCACTGCCACTGGCACGGCCACTGCCACGGCCACTACTCCCGCTCCTCCTCCTGCTGCTGCTACTGGTCCTGCTACTGCCACCGCCACCGCCCACCACCGCCACCGCCGCCGCGCCGGCCGCAGCACCAGCGATGTTCTGCAGCTTCGTGCTGTTGCTGTGTCAGTGTGTCAGCAAGATAGTCAGGGCTGAGCGGGTATACCTTGACCGCCCACGTATCAAATGCTGCCTTCGGGCAGCCTTCACTGAACGAAGCACAGCAGCAAGGCCTTCAGCTGCGAGGCGACTTCCCGCATGCTGCGAGCTCCTCCTCGAAATCTCGCACATCTGCAGCTAACTGGAAGCAAACCTCAAACCTCCAAAATTGCACACTCGGAGGGACAAATGTCCCGATCAAGCAGACTCCCGTCATCGCGAACATCGCCATGTGTGCTGGCCTGCAGCTCCTCTTTGCGAGAAGCACCAGGATGATGACCTCTCGAGACTTGAATCACGATGCTCACTGAATGGAAATCACAATCACGGGGGCCGCCGCATACCGCTTCCTGCAGAAGGCCCCGCGGCATTCTGCAAGCCCGCTAAGTCTATCGTAATTTCTTCTTGCTATGGAGGTTGCTCAGTAGTCATCTGGTCTGGCGGCGTTGTACGAAAGTTGGCTAGTTAGAAGCTGCATTCTTGCTGAACCGCAGCTGAGCCCGAAGACGGCCCGTGGATTCCGGAAAAATACTCCAAAAGTGGACCTGAAATGGCAGGGGCCATACCAGGGGGGCCGAAGGCCTCGCGATGCCTGGTCTAGGTTTTGGGTCTTGGGATGTCCATGTCGATGAACAATGTTCAGAACTTCAGGCGACCTGGAAGAAGGTATCATGGACAAAACACAAACAATACGTAGCATTATGAGAGCGGCAATTCCACCTCGTCGCTTGTTCTCCCAGCTGCTGGAGATTTTGGGGCTTCACGTGTCTTGATCGTCCGTGCACGGGGTGGGATGGCGAGTAACTTCTCTCCTAAAGCCTAGTCCTGTTGTCAGCAAATTCCCGTGAAGCTCTTTTCAACTGCTGGCAGCAAGCTGGGATGGTCACCGGTCTATCCCATGCTCCCATCTCCACTGCAGCGCTTGCTGGCGCAGTGCACAAACACTTTTGCAGCAGGCCGGTTGCTTGATCCGCACTCGGGTCGGGCTCCCGCCCCGTTGGCGTCGACTTTGAGTTTACAGTGAAGAGATGGCCCCAGAAAAACTACTCAAGGAGGTACGAGTAACTAGAGGGCATGGCGGCAGTCCGTACCGAGGCAGCCATGCTGCTGTGGCTACTAAGCTGCTCTGCACTCCGTGGCGGGCTTTGGAGATGCGGCTGAGGCTCTCTGCGACTCCGCGGGCTCACTGCTGGGCTTCTTCGTCAGCAATAGGATTGGCGTGTATCACGATGCTCTGACGACGATCAGACAGGAGATGACAGGAGTTGCGGACATCTGTGCCGAGGCATGATTCGAGCTTTCGCGTGCCTCAATCTTGATCGGCCGCATCGGTCTGTTCTTGGCATTGATGGGTTCCTGCCACAGAAGCCATGGACTTAACCGGAAGTGCAAACCACATCCGGCAACGGCACAGCTAGCCGCATCCTTCTCCATCTTGTCAAGGGTGTCCAGGCCATCAATCAGCCTTTTAGCTATCCGTCATGCACCGTGAACCCAAAGGCAAAAAGCTGCCTTCCGAAGGTGGTGTAGACACCGTTAAGGTGGGGTTGGCGCGAGTACCTCTGCAAGGCGCACGAAACCCGCGTCGCATCTGGCCACCTTCCGTCCGCACGTCACAAAGAACTGGCTGCCGTTGGTATTCGGGCCGGTGTTCACCATGGACAAGCAGCCTTGCATCTCACATCATGACAGGAGCAAACCGCAGGACGACGACTCCTTCGACCATGCCTCTTCTCTCATGCTTCAACGTGGACACAAACTCGTCCTGCACCCACATCTTCGACATCGGCACAGGCAGCGCAGTTCCAGAAGCCTCGAAATAGCCGCCATAAATGCTCTGACCACCTTTGCCAGTGCCGGTCGGATCTCCACCCTGCCAGCATCGCTTCAAGCCGAATGCTCCTCACACACAGAGGCCGCCTGGATCATGAAGCCCTTGATATTTCTGTGAAAGTTGGTGTTGTCATAGTAGCCTGGCGAAGGCTGTGTTCAAGTCACCAGCAAGAGCAAAGGAACATCTCGCAAACAGAAACGTTGAACCATCGTATGTTGTCATGGAAGCTCTTCGAGCAAATGACTTCCCACTGTGCGAAGGAACCTATGTAATGTGCCGTTGCCAATCACCAAGCAGGTGGGAGCACCAGAAGCAGCTAGTGCCAGGAAATTCTTGCACGTCTTCGGAGTTTGGGCGCAAAACAGCTCCACCTGGCGACGGGGCAAGGCTGCGAGACCACGGAGAGGCACATCTTCTCTTAGATCTCTTAGCCTGGAGAATGATAACGTCCCCCAAAGGCCTTGAGCGGCCCCAAGTTGGTCTTGATGGTGAGAGACATCTCCCTGACGGCACACAGGAAAGGGTCCAGGAGTGTCGAGTTTCCATAGGTCAGACCACCGTGAAGATCACTGAAGATCGCCAAAAATGGACCCCAACCCTCGAAACGCATGAAAAATGCACGCCTTCTGGGCCTCTTGCCCAGGCACACGCTTCAGCTTGAGCCCAAACGAGGGGTCAGAATCATCACTAAGTTCATAGCTTGACGGATCTTCGCGTGGCCGCAGAGGTCATCAGCAGAGAAGGAACAGGTAAACAAGCGCAGCCTGTCAATTCACCCCGGGCTTTTTGCGAACTGGCTGAAAGCTCAGCGTCACTCAGCAGCGTCTCCGCCTGGCAAGTCTTTTGACTGTAAGGTCAAGGTCGAGTCAAGACGAACCCAACAGAAACATAAAGTCCACAGCTCACAGCTACAAGCGTGTCCGCAGCACCAAGACATGATCACCGTGCGTGTGAACCTCCACCGAAAAGGTCTGGACTCTAGAGGCGGTAATTCCTGCGAAGCATAGACCCTCCCACCTGGCGAATCAGGTACCGTCCTTCATCCGCCCACTCCGCGACCCTCACAGAGGCATCGGCTCAGCTTCTAAAAGACCTGCTTGAGACAGGCGCCCCTTGCCTCTCGTTCATAGATATCTGAATGCCCAGGTGCTGAAGCGCGATTCGTGAATACCTTCAGAGCACTCAACAGGGAGCTTACGAGACCGGACCGGCCCTTGGCACATCCTGTTCCTTTTTTTGCGATATAACACAACATCTCTGGCCAGGTGCTTGATTCCATCGTCTTGGAGGCTTCTCAGGCCGGTGCCACTGCCCCAGGTAGGGTATCCTCGGGTTCTGCAACGCACACATGTCTCTGCAATAGTTGTGCTTACGGATGCTGTGGTGGTGGTGGTGGTGGTGGTGGTGGTGCTGGTGGTGGTGCTGGTGCTGGTGGTGGTGCTGGTGCTGCTGCTGCTGCTGCTGCTGCTGCTGGTG